CAATAAAGGTACATTTTTTTTTTTTTTAAAAAGCCTGCAGATATAAATACAAGCAAGTATTTTCAGGGGCCTTTATAATACATGAAAAGAACCCTTTGGAAATAAAAATCTGTGCCATTGAAATTACTGTCTTCACTATGGCTTCATAGAAGATAAAGTGAGAGATGAAGAAGACTCCACTTGCATGCTTTCTGCACAGTTTTTCATGATTCAACTTCAAGCCTTTTTCAGTTTCTAATCTTTGAGTGTCACACTGCAGAGATACTTAAAAGGGCCTCAAGTCTGACTTCATTACATTATCAAATTTGGAATATATGATTGCTAAGAATATGCTGTTAAAAGAATTAGTACAAAATCATCCATTGTGCAAATCTTATTTTTTCCTGTGTTCTCAGTGCTGCATGGGATCAAAATCTGGCTTTTTGTATATTATATGTAATGCTGAATGAACTTTCTACAATTATATCCTTCAGGTATCTTCTGTGTGAGAAACTTCTCAAGTTGCCAGTTAGTCTGTGATGACCTCTGATAATCAAACTACAAATTGCCCTCTCTCCATCACTCATCCAGACTTGTCTCATAATCAAGTTTTCTACAGAAGATTGCTAATTATCCAAATTGCCATTTCGTATTTGTCCCTAAGGTTATATAGTTATTTCTCTACAAAGAGGTGTCTCCCACTGTGCATTTTTCGTGATGGCAAAGCGTGACTGGACTGCTGGTCTGAGTAGCTGGAATGAGAAGAGGGAACTTCACTGCTTTTCCTTTTACCCATTTCAAGTGATTGTTCTTGTATTATTTATAACTACAAATTGATTTAAAGTTAATTCATTTTTCTTAGTGGCATTAATGAATACAAGCAGTCATTTAATGGTTTGTTTTGCGTATACTTTCTCAACAGCAGCGTTGGCCATTAGGAAGGTACTAGGGTGGTACATGACAGAAGTTGAAAGCAGGATTAAAAGGAAAGCAATTTGCAGTAACATTAACCAAGCTGAATATAATGCCTATATCTCATTCAGGAAACAGGCTCTGTAAGAGCGGCAGAATTTTCCCCTTTTGCTTGTCTTGATTGATTTCTGCTGCTTGCAAGTGCCTTGTTCAGCCCTTACAGCAAGAACACTGTAAAATGCTCCGTGTGTGTGTATTATATTGCGTTTTTCTGACATACGTATACACGCACATATGTACTGTCTCAAGAATGAAAGACTAGGAATGAATACTTCATTCTTGTCTAGTTCTGTGCTAACAACATAAAGCAATTATACAGTATATGTTGTATGCTTCCAAAACTGTGAAATACTTGTGTTCAGCAGCACTAAGGTGTGAGCACCAGATAACAGCTTTTATTTGAAGAATTTTAGCTCTCAGTGTTTCCCTAAGACTTTGACTCCTTAGTTTCCTAAAGTTTTCTTTCTTTCTTAGCTTTTTGTTTCTCCACAGCAGCACAGAGGCTTATTATTACTGAATGAGAACCACAGGCTGTCTTTGACAGCCACCAGGATTGGGATTCTGTAGTTAATAGTTATTCCATGCATTTGGAATTTCAATGGTCATCAGTGGCCACTGAAGGGCTGAATTTGTTGATGTAGCTTTGTTTAAGATTTGATCAGTCTCTTATTTCCCTCCCTGCCATTCACATGTACTAATAAGCCTATGAAGCAATTTCCATGATAGCAGAGTAATGAGGAAAGGAGAACTTGCCTTTTATTCTGAATTGAGTACAAAGGCATATTTGTTCTCCCTTTTCCCTATCCATCCCAGTCTGTGCACATCCAAGTATGGGGTAGCTACAGTCTTTTGCCCCATGCTTTCTTATGGGAGCATGATGCTTCTCTTTCTCAAGCCGTCTACCAGTGGTAAGGTACTAAATTTGTACTACCTTAGGGCAAGATCAGTCACGTCCATTGAGCTAACTCCAGCTTGTGTTCATGGCTCCTTTCAAGATGATTATTATCACTTCTTGGAATTAAAGCAGGGATGTGACCAGAGGAGTCTCATCCAGCTTTAATTTACAGTAAGCTCTTAGAAGTCGCATGAATATTTCCCAAGAATGAAGAGCCTTGAAATTGCTTGGTCCACAGGGTAAGAAGACTTCAGTGTGTAATATTCTTAATTGTTTTTAGAAAGAGGAAATTGAACATCAAAACATTCCAAAGGAAGCAAGCCTTTTAAGTGATCCTAAATCACTGGGGTGCTTTAGAAAATAGTTTCAGTGTAAGTTGAATTTTTAATTGCCTGCCCCTTCCTCTTATTGTCGTGGTACTTTCATCCCCTCTGTTTTCCTGGAAGAGAACATTATTGTTGCTGTCTATTTTAAGGAATTCACTGGAATTTCTCCTGCAGTGCAGCAAAATGTCAGGGCTGAATATGCTTTAATATGCTGTATTATGAATATTTTTTATATCTTTGTAATTAAAGAAATGAAGTTTTAATGACTGCTCTCTTATAAACCCTGGACTGTTGCATTTGCAACATAAGAAGCTCAGGACAGACAACGCCAGGTGCAGCTGGAATATTGCTGCAGCCCCACAGCATTATTTTTTTTTTTTTAACATTATTCAAATTAGTCTCAACACTCATAATTCTGTTGTTTCCTTTATTGCTGTTGTAAAGCAAATGGTTCTTTTATACAAATGTTATCTCCTGGCTATTAATTCAGCTGTTATTTTGGATTATGGCACTCCTGTTAAATTTAGGAATGTAAAATCTCATAAATATTTAAAAGTTTCAGACTGACGTGGGAAGAAATTGTTTTTGACTTGCTTTGTTAATATCCTGTTGTTCAATTTGTAATAGATTTGGAATATATTGTTATTTCTCTATTGTTTGAGAAAAGGAAAAATAGTCACAGTTGAGCAACTGCTTGAAGTGTTCGCACTTGAATTGTAACAGGTCGGTGAATACGATTTTTGTTCAAGTGGAAAATTGCAAGGGAAATATCTGTTTTCCTTTGAGAGAACAACAACAACAAAAAAGTTAAAACTTTAGTCAGAGCCCACTTCATGGCTAGTGAAAATGCAGCAGTATGTTTGTAAGGATGGTTTCAGCAAAGCAATTCCAAGCAGGGCTGGTTACAGTGAAGTTATTCTGTTTCAGCGTTTTTCCTCTTTAAACTTTTCTAAGAAATAAATAAAATGGACAAATGTTTTTCTTCCATTGTAGATATTTTGAATAGAGTACATTTACTACACAGTGAGTGTATCTGTAGGGTAAGGATTAGTATGCAACCTGAGTATCCTCCAAACTCTGAATAATAACCAGGGGATAAGAAGCCACAGTTTTTGCTGACCAATGAAGGTCTAGGAGGACGTAGTTTGGAGCAGCATTCCTGTTTCACATCTAACAACATCTTCATTCATTCTTGACATTGGAATTGAATGCGTAGCTTTTCAGACAGGTATTAAGGAATATTAAGTTATAAATCCTGTCAGTGTCATTAATAACTATTTTAAATTTTTCAACAACTGTTTCAAAAAAGATGTTGAGTTGGTTCAATCCTGATCAGCAGGCTGACAAAGCGGGCAAAGTACGTATGCAGTTAACCAAGCTTGCTTCTCTCCTGCATGCTCCCTAAGTTGTTCAGCTGTGTCTTTGGCTTGATGGGTTTGTTTCATTTCCCACATCAGTTAACCTCAGTGGTGTAATATCGTGACTTTTTGTGGTATGGGCACTGAACTGAACAGAGAGCTTTCTCTAGCTAGCAGCTAGGTTGGTACTGCAGTGTCACTGCTGTTGAACGGCAGATTTGCACTCTCAGCTCTTATAATGTATGGCCGAACCAGCTTAATCTTCATGTAAAGTAATAATTGAGGTGACAGTTTTCTTTTGTCTAGAAAAACCTTTTTTTCTTTTTAATGACTTGTCATAGTTACGGTGCAATATTTCAAAGTTCAAGTTTTCAAAAGGAAGCTGTTAAGTGATCGTGTACAAGCTGTAATTCTGAAGGTGAACTTAGAATGGCATGAACAAATGGGTATTTTTACATGCACGTAATGAGCTGGATGTGCCATGCTAGCTGACTCCAGGCAAGTTTAACAAATTCAGTATGGTCCAGCTCTTGGCCTGTAAGGCAGACCCAGCCCCTCTGTGAGGTTTCTACCTGACCTATCACCTTCTTGCTGCTGAAGAGAGCAAACAGATGCTTCTTCAGCAGATGCAGACTCCTCCACCTGCCATCTCTGGGGAGATGAATAGCAGCTCTGGAGGGGCATAAGGAAGGGCAAGCAAATCCTTCGGGGCTGCTGGCCCCCCCACCTGGCTTCTGCAGATGCTGCCACCAGGCCACCCAAAGCATGACCATGTGCATGACAGTATTCATGAGCCAGTCCCACACACTCCCTCATTCATTTTTGTCTGCACAAAAAGCTCATTCCTCTATTACAAATGGAATGTGAATCTGCTATCAAATGGAAGAAAGAAGATATAAGGCTTTTGCTATAGCTTATTGACTTTTTTTTTGTTCTTCTGAAAGCTATTTTTGCTATGTGTTTCTTGTATTACTCTTGGTTCTATGTGAACAATATAAAGCCAACAGTTCTTGTGTGCTTATAAACTTGAGGACATTTGGATGAGGAAATTCTGCAGAGCAGTATATTTACTTTGCATTTCTGAATGGTAGCAATTAAAATTCACAGCTGCTGGCTGTCCAGATGTTTCTCACATTACAGCATTGTAATTTGCATTGGAATATATTGTGTTACTGCAGTAGCTGTTAAGTGGTCAGCTCTTCCAGCCCTAACTGCTGTATGTGAGCTCCACATACAGTCGGGATGTATTTTCCACTTGCGTCTGGTTCTTCTCCTTCCCCCCGTTCCCTACCTTAGTTAGCCTGACCAGTCTGTATTTCTCAGATGAAGGCTTTGTTGCTTGGAATTCACATACAGCAGGGGACATATTGGCAGATCAGAGCAGACGTACGGGTGGTTTCTTTTAAGAGAGATAGGAAAAAAGGACCTAGCTTTGAATCAGAACATTCCCTTTCCCTTTGGCATTTTCAGACTGCAAACATCCCTCTGGTGTCAGAGCTTGGCATTGATGACGTCCATTTTGATGACTTCTCACTCGATGTGGATGCCATGATTACTGCAGCCCTGCGGATGTTCATGGAACTTGGAATGGTTCAGAAATTTAAAATTGACTACGAGGTAACCATCTGTTCTGCAGAGATATCTGCTGCTTCCATGTTGGCACTGCTCTGTCCATTTGCACGCGTTTAGTAGCCCTGATAAAATTTGTACTTTTCATTTCAGACGCTGTGTAGGTGGCTTTTGACAGTTAGGAAGAATTATCGAATGGTTTTGTATCACAACTGGAGACATGCTTTCAATGTGTGCCAACTAATGTTTGCCATGTTAACTGTAAGTATCCCGCTACAGACACAATCCCATAAGATTTTTTAGTGCTGCATTCCTTACCTGTCTAAATGTTTTCCAGTGTGTTTTTCTGGTTGTTATGATATTCATTCGTTTGCAGTAGATATGCACACAGAACTAGGTTATTCAACTTAAGATGGCATGTGTTTGGCAAAACCTTATAGTGTTTTAGTGACAGTGATATCACAGGCATATTAAAGTGACTGAAAACAGATGGAAGTCTTGGATTAAGCTTGTTATTATGGATCTTCATCTTACAATAATGCTTTCCTTTTGGAACTCTTTAATTTGACATTTATTTTGGACTGTTAAATCAAGATATAAAAAACATGGAAGATTTAGAAGAATTATTTATTTTGTTGATATTTAATATTTTCTTCTCCCATTTCATCCAAGCTGTTGTGAAAAATTCTGCCTAAAAACATTAAGATCATCTTCCTCCATAGTGATCTATGTGAATCTTTTGTCTTCACTGGACACTGTAATACTGGTGCGTTTTGTTTACTTCTATCACCATCAGTAGCTATATCTTCTCTCAGCTACAAGTTAATTCTGTTCAAAATACCAGTGCTTTTATACTCTCTCTTCCTACCCCGCATCAACCTTGCCATTGTATATTATATATAAATATACCATTATATATATATATAATATAAATAATGCATATTTAATTAGTTAATTCTTGCAAACATATCTGTAAAAAGACCATGGTTCTGATTGTTTAAGATTCTGCTTAATATGGCAACAGAGAAGCAATGTGTCTCCGTGCATACAACACTTTTCATTGTGCTTTTTAATTTTTTTTCCATATCTCCAGATAAAATTTCAAATGAAATGAATATTTTAGGCTCTAGTAAAACCATGATGTTCATAAGGTGATACTTCAACAAGATGGTTGATGCATAAGCTTATGTTATATAATTAGAGGAGCATTTATCACTAAAAAGCTCTTAGAATATTTTATCTTAGAATATTTTCATGAGGAACCAACAAAAGGAGGATCCCCAGAGCAAAGGCTGCATTTTCAAATACTAGAACATTTCCTATGGACAGAGGAACAGTCTTCTGACTTAATTACTGAATTTTTACATTCTTGTTGCTGCTGAGATGCCAGCATGGCCAGCGTTTGCATGCTATCAGTCTGTGTGTGTTATCAGTGGAGCCTGCACTGCCTGTGCTAATCATACAGTGATTAAAAACACCAGATTGGTCTGCTGCCACTGAAATATTTCCACTGTGTTACACAGCCTTTAGATGGGCTGTAGCATGTTAACTCTACATAGGGCACAGTTGGCTTGGATTTCCAGCTGTTGTTCCTGGTTGGGCAGCACAACCAGTACCTTAAAGAAAAAGCAGAGCATGAGGTCCTCAGGCAGGTAAATGACATCAGCGATGTGCTAGGTCTGTCCTGCAAGTTGTGTGGGTTAGGTTCTGTGAGCAGTTAGGGAGTGTAACAAGCTGTGAGGCAAAGCAGACAGAGACCTCTGATGAGAGTGAGAGAAGTCATCCCTTCTCTTGGGAGTGGAGATTGTGCGGCTGGGTGGAACCAGCCACATCTTCCTATGGACACTTTCTGTTGGTCTGAAATGAAAACTCATTGTAACGTGGGCACTGGTAGTTTCTAAAAGTGTTATGAGCGTGGCAAGCTTGTTGTTAAGTTATATAAAGATAGAAGGATTTTCACTCTGAGCAGTAAGAGTCAAGTCAGACAGCGTCTGGGGATTGCTGCCAAACGCTGCCGGGAGCGAGGCAGCCGCAGCCCCCGCCTCCACTCAGCTCCTCTGCGAGGGGAAAGTGTCCTCTAGATGGAGCTCCGAGGCCGGCTTTGAGGCAGGTTTTGTTTTGGGTAGAGCAGCCCTTTCCTACCGGGCACCTCCATCTCAGCTGGAGGCGGCCAAATCGCAAATCCGCAGCCAGCAGGGAGGAGGAAGATCGCGTTTTCTTCAACAGCCAACAGCAGGCCAGCGAGGCTGAGCTCTGCGACCGCATTCAAAGCTTAATTTCAGGATGCGTTTAAGCAAGCAGTGTGGGAGCACACATATCTGTGGGAGGCGATCTAAGATTTTCAAGCTCAGCTCATTTCAGTACATGGGTCTTCTAGTGAGATGAGCAGGCAGTTCCAGGCAGGCGGCACATGCACCAGAGTCTTTTGACTGTGCCGTCTTGTCCTGCTTTGCTGTGGCTTTGGTGCAGAACAAAAGCAAGCCAGGCAGTCTGGGACCTGGTTTGGCTGCTCTTGCTTTCAGAGATAGGAAGACTGATTTTGTGAAAAGAGACATAAAAGCGATAGTCATGAGACTAGTAATAGCACAAGGTTTGCACGTATTGCATTCTTCTTGGGAGAGCCATCCTGCTTAGTATGCCTCATTGTTTGCTTTTCATCTGCAAGAAGGGAAAATTCTCTGCCTCGTAGAGATACTGATTTGTGCCCGGTACTCTGTTGCAGGGTTTGTGTATATGAATATGTCAATATGCAAGACCCTTTCCTAAAGTTGTTGTAGTCTTTTTCTGGTTTTTCCAGGAAAATCAATAATGTTATCTGCACCACAAATATAAATAAATAGGTCTATTTTAGGGAGTTTTCATGAAGGGTTAGCCTAACAGATTAGACATTACTACATTACATGCTAACAAGATTCGCCTCTGATGGCCTCACCACGCTCTCATTGAAAACAGAAGCAAAATCCGGCTGGGGTAAACAAGCCAACAGAAATCCTGCAGTGCTTAAACCAGGTGTGTCAGCCTTCTGTATGTGTACCATATATTCCTGTATGTCTAAATATAGCTTTTGTTTTTTTCAAGACACTGGAGAATTATAAACCCAGTCCTGTGAGCCATGCTTCAGGCTCACCCAAATATTCTGAAGACGAGCACTGAAGCAAGGCTACTCCTCTGAGTTAGGAATGTCACGTGAGAGTAAACCACAGGATGAAGCCCAGCTTTGATAATCATATTAATTCTTTGCTCAAGAAGTAAAAATGAAAACGTCAGTAATATAAAATTAAAATCACATCTGGTGTGCTACTAACAAAACATATAATGTGGAGCAAGGTATAACGAATGCAATTCATTTCCTCACATGAGAGAATGACCTCCATAACTCACTGGAGACTCTGCCACTCGTGAGTTATGGGTCGTTTTTTTTCTGGTGAAAATAAATTTTACTGTGCCATCGTATACAGCTGTGTATTTTTTTTTTTCTCTCTGTAAATTCAAAAAATGAGGAAATGGGATTCTCTGCTCTGAACGTAATGCGAAAAGAAAAAAAAAGATCCTCTTACAATGATGTTGTTTTAAATTGAACGTTCTTATTAAATGAGATATGCTATATTTCTCTCATATACTCTATGACAATATTTTTGATTAAATGTTGAATTTATTTTCAAGATATTGCTACTGTTAATAAATTCCTTAATCAGTCTCCCTGCATTTATGATACAGGTTGAATCTTTGAGTTTAATCAAAGCTTCTGTTATGCTGAAGGCTATTTATTACAGTATCAACATTCTATTATGAAACCTCTATTTTAAGTTGCTTTAACTCAGCATGAATGCTTTCTCTAGACTGAAAGCTGACACAATGGTATGTTGTCAGTTACAATCCTCTTTTCAATTTTTTTTTTTTTCCCTAAATAGACCTTTATTATTTTTGTTATACAAGAGCAATATTTAAAGAGTAAAACCAGAAAACACTATTTTTTAGATAACTTCCTCTGCCTGAGTGTCTAGTACTGGAATTTTAAGAAGAATCAGGAGAAGCCCTTTCGTAATAGTCAGGTTAATCTGTACGCCAGTGGATATTACATGAATGGAATATTTTTTCCTCATATTTAGTTATCTTTTTAGATGTATAAACTTTGCACAGTTATAAAGCATTTGTAGCAAGTCCTGCACTTCCATCATTCATGCTAAAATGTACTTTTGAGCAACCTGGAGCAGGGTTGATTCCCTGTACTGCTTAAGAATTAATTGCAGCCACATTTTAAACTGTGAAAACAGAGAATATTTGCATTTAAATATGTATTTATTAAAGTAGAATTTATGGTCTTCCAAGTGAATAGCAAAGTTCTCACTTGGTATTGCAACAATGACTGGCATCTCTGAGTGAGCTGTATGTTCCTGTGGAAGTGCAAGGACATCAAATCCCACTGTTATTCACTGTCTTTGTATCACTTAATGCTCTTCTTGCCAGAGAGTGAAATTATGCTCCACTCAAAATCAGCAGAATTTCTTACATACTGTTCAAGTTAGGTTTTGTCTTCCAAAATAAATTGTTTCTTTTATACAATTTCCTCTCTTGCTAACTGGATCATGTGGCTAGTTGGAGAATGTGGTTCAAGCCTGATGCCATGGACAGAAAAGGATTAACAGTTTTCCATTTCAGTCATTGTTGCAGGCAATATGCCCTGAATCTTCTGAAGAGTTGAAGAACCATGTTGTTTCTGTTGTGGGTAAGGTGCACCAGGCCTACAGTGTCCCAAACAGCTTTCAGCACCTCCTCAGACATGAGCTGTTCAGGGTGCTTGAGGTTGGCATTAGCGGTGGTGCTTCTCTGGCATGAGGCAGTTCAGGCTATTGCACATCTTCTGTACAAGAAGAGGTATAGGGGCAAAAAATATTTGTAGGGATTCACACTGGCATATCTGGTCTGAATTGGCTGTGGGGGATTTCAGTACATCAAATTTCAAAACTTTATATCAAATTCAAGTGGGCATCTGCAGCAGAATTATGCCTTTTGAGATATTTCCTCCTAAATCATGTCACTTCATTTCACATGTCTCAGGTAACAAATCTCTTAACTGTTCATTCCAGTTCCATAGAGTATATTTCAGCTGGCATCTTTTATAGGTCTTTTGATTTAACAAATTAGATATCTTTGACAGTAGGGATTAACTAAAATGGCCACCTCAGAATTGAAGAAATCCGTGCTAAAGTACTTACTGAACAATAATTTCAAAATGAAATCAAGTTTGGTTTGTATTTCTCTGGTAAGAGATTCCGGTTCCTGTCTTATTGTGTAGTTACTGGTGTTTGTTTTCAGCTCTTTTTGCCATTGCTGCTTTCTGGGTAGTGGGGGAATGCCATGCTGGAACTGCAATGGAGAGATGATAACACATCACTCTAAGGACGTATCTGTTCTGCTAACCATCTAACATGCAGCGGGGAACATAATATGACAGTAAAGCATTTATCTTCTCTTTACTGATATGTTCATGCTATCAAAACAAAGTTGGCTGTTGCTTGATGGACTAACATTACTTATCCCTTTTGCTACTGATAGTTACAGCTGCTATTTTTTTCCTTTTCTCAGACAGCAGGATTTCAAGAGATTCTGACTGAAATTGAAATTTTAGCTTTGATTGTGGGATGCTTGTGTCACGACCTTGACCACAGGGGAACCAACAATGCCTTCCAAGCCAAGTAAGTTTTCTAATTCTTATTACTTTAATTTGTTTTTCTTCCACAGAAGAGCAAAAGGTGAGCAGGATAAAGAATGAAGCATTAATTTCAGGCCTCCCAGGCCAAGGCCAAGTATTCTTATTCCTGTACATAGTGAGGGACTATCCATCTTTATAATTCTCTGTTCTTTGGGGTAATTGCTGCCTTGTCCTTTGTATCAGGCTGTTGATTGGGTTAATCCTTGTGAGCTGACACAGAATATTGAAATGTGGTGCCAAAACTTGATGTTCCTCTCTTGCTCTGTTATTATTAATTCTGGTATTCGACTCAGAAAATACTGAGACAATCTATCTGGGTTTCTCACTGTCTGGAATGCATTAAGTTAAGCATAACCTAGCTAAGCAATTAAAAAAAAAAAAAAAAAAGGGTTAAAATGAAATCCTGCTTTCCCAACAATTTTCAAAATGGTTTAGGCAAGCACAGCATATAATTCCTGGCATATGGAGTATGAAACTGCTACCATCATGCTGGAGCTCTGCTGCATATCATCTGCAGTAGGTGGGCTGCTCCTGGTTTGTAGAAATGCCACCTCCTTGCTTGCTCCATATGCCAGTTCTCAGAGTTCCGTATGCTTGGAGTCCTGCTGCCACAGGCAGGGTTGGGCTGGCTGCTCCTTGACATGGTCAGTACCCACTACAGCACAAGGCTGGATCTCACAGGCAGATTGTTACATTACCTAAGTGAAATCTTGCTCTCCAGACCATTTTCAATTCCAAAAGTGAATGTCATTCTATTCAAGTTGCTTAAGACCTGATCCAGCAGCCCTGACTCATGTTTGTTTTTACCATCCAAGCTGCTACCCTTAGATGTGTTGCTGAAATAGCAGCAGGCTAATGGAAAGTTTGAGGGTACGTTGTAGGGTGATAAGATAACTCTGTTTACCAAGATCAGATTGTTTCCAAAATCTGGTTTTGAAAGACAGTAGGAATTGCCTGTTTGCTGCAGTGTGTAATATGCACTGGCTGCTGCGTTTCTGGGGCTGGGTATCCTTAGTGACCATCACTCATATTGATGTTTCTGATGTTTGCTAAGCTGCCATTTCCTAAGCTATTGGTGCTGCTATACAATCTCAATGAAACAATGACACTGTCTGTATCTTCAATCACTATAGCAAGGAAAATCAATTGCGGTGCTCAAAAGACAGAGCTCGTGGTGCAAAGGTTACCAAGCACCGCTAGATGCCTGTTCGCAGCTGAGTCTGGAGGAGAATCAAAAAAGATGAGACAAATGGGAAGCTCAGCTGATTGATGTTTATGTTCCTAATTTACCAAAATGAAACCTAAGATTTACATCCAGGCCATTTTAGGCTCTGATTAAGTTAACTACTTCTCTACTGTAACGTTGCACAGACACATCTCTTGTGCAGAGAGATGGCTGACTTAAAGGCAGAGATTTCAGCATCAAACTGCTATCACTTAAACTTCCTTGACAACTGACTACGAAGAGGAGACTGCCATTTTACGACTCCATAAAGAAATTGCTGAAGACATTTAACAAAGGACAAAGATTCCCACACATACAAAATAATCCCTGAAAATGGAAGCTGTTGTTTTCATAACAGCGGCTATGATTTATTTCTCTAACTTGGCTTACAAATTTAAGCACGTTTTCTTATTTTGTGTTCAGTGCTACTGTTCTGTGTTCTGAAAGTTCAAGAGGTGTACAATGAAGGCAATATCACAGCTGTCTGAAATGTCTCTGTTATATATCTCAACACCACATTCTCTAGGGATGATGTTTCCTGGACATCTTTCTCTCTAATATAGCTGCTTCTGATAATTAAATAGCAGTATGGTGCAGTTTTATAGTTTATTTTCCTAGGAGACTCTTTCTGTTTGTCTCTAGCATAATCTCTTGTTCTCATTTCTTTGGAAAGAAAACCCATCTTGTCACTCTAGGCTGGGTCCCAGAAGTGAAGTAATGATGAACAGTAACTATTCTGACAATCCAGTTCAATTCTCTGCACCTCCCAACAATTCTCAATTTAATAACTGTATTTCATAGGTTTTTGTTCTTTAAACTTGGGAAACCCAACTGCTCTGTGCCTTTTGAAGCTTGATTTTGTTTTAGATAATAAACATGATAAAAAAATACATTCTAGACAGATGGCAAACTTTACTTTTACATTTACTACTCTCAGTGCTGTTTTTTGGTTACATTAGTTTGTTTTTTTTTTTAAGTGTGTGCTTTTAGATATAGACAGAACCTCACTGCATTTGAACTTGTTTTTTTGTTTGTTTTTAAAGATACGTAATCACCTTTTTGTAAGCCTTTTTTTGTTAATATCTACTAATAACTGAAAATTAAAAGTAACAGAAGAGTCAATCTCTTGACCCCTGCTCAAGGCTGATACAGTCTGTTTTTACTGCACAGTGCTGTGCTGCAGCACTGCTAAGGCTCCTTGGAAGCTGCATTCCATAACTTTGTTCCAGGAACTATCTTTAGTCAGCTGATGGTATTTAGCATAAACATAAATGCCATGTATTTGGCTATAAATGACTATTTTGATCTGGCCAACTCTCAAGTGTGGTCGCTGACATGGATAAGGGCAAGTATGACTGCATGCTTTCATTACTAAATTCTGTCTGAAATCTGCCTTGTAAGCAACTGAGCAGCATTTGTTGACTCCCTGCATTCTGTTTCAGGAGCGGATCAGCCTTAGCTCAGCTCTACGGCACCTCTGCTACCTTGGAGCACCACCATTTCAATCACGCTGTCATGATTCTCCAAAGTGAGGTACAAAGCATTACTATTAATCTCACTATAAGCTGTTGGGCAGTTTCAGCCAGGGAAAGGAAATACCACATACAGTACCTTCTTAATGCCCTCTCCTTGAGGAATTATTTATTGGATACCTCAAAGGTCACAACTAGCACAAAATTAAACAATTACAAATGCTGATCGTAGATCCCAGAGATTATATCTGTCTCAATCAGCTAGGGGCAAGGAGAATATATCCTAATCATATTATCAGTTTCTCTGTCTTACACAGATCCTGCTCAGGGCCTTATAGTTAGGTAAAATGCTCTTACCTTTCCCCACAAGTGTTGTGTTGCACTCAGTCTGAGTCATCCTTTACTGGTTCTGCGTTATTTTACTAAATGTTTGTGCTTTTTTTTAATTAACATCTCAATATTGCACTGTCCAAAATACGCTAGCTGCTGTGCAGATTCCTATAAATACAGAGTTCCTGCCTAGAACACCTTCTGCTCAACAATATGCAGGCTACACTGCCCTAGAGGTGTTATAAGAGAGAGTAGAGAGATAAGACACATAATCTTTATGAAGAAAATGGATGTATTTTGTTAATTTACAGATAGCTTGTTACAAAATGTGTTCAGTATATATAGAAAGTCTTATTCATGCAGCACTATTAGAGACTATTCTGATGTGCACTAACTTTTGAAGGGCGTGGGATTGTCCATGATTATAGGCAAAAGGGAAAAGGGAACTGGGTAATGCCTTGACTCTGTATGCAGTGTCCACAATCAGTGGTCTAAGACTGACCTCTGGGTTTTAGTGTCCAGTTTTTTAACATAATATTTACAACATAGACATGGTAAAGGAGAGCCCTGGCATGAGATTTAAACAATTCAATCTGCTCAGTTAAGATGATCCCCTAGTAAATGGCTCTTTAGCTAGCAGAGAAAGACAACAAAAAGCAGCATTTGAAGGCTAAATAGACCAGTTCACAGGGAGTAGGGAAAAGGAAAGTAGTGGTTCTTTTCTTTTCTTTCCTTTTTTGTTTGTTTGCTTGTTTTCTTTAAACCAATGAGACTGTCTGTTCAAAGAACACTTCTTAGCTCTTCAAGTCTTCAGGACTGACTGAATGCCCTTCTGAAGACATGCTTAAGACATGGACAACTCTGTGCAAGTTTATAGCTCATGTCAGACTAGATTACAACACCACTTCTTTTGAAATAAATACAGATTTGGATCCTCCAAACTACTTAAATAGGCATATTAACTTGTGCAAGCTGAGCAGTTTGTTTCTTGCCTCAAATATGCTAAAATTAGATGATATCCTATGCACTAATGTTGATATCCTAGTCTGGTTTGGCTATCTAAAATTAAACATAGAATAGTGCATGATTACTTTGGATTTTTATCGTGCTGGAAAGATGAGCTATTTATTCTCTACTTCTGTCATGCTAACCTCAATATAAGTGATTTTGAGCTTTGTGCTGGCATGGTTTTACACATAATGAAACAGATCAGAAATGTGAAAAATAAAAAAATTACAGATCGACAACTTGGTAAATTGCTCCTGTTGCAATAGCCGCTGTTTTCCTCATACACCTTACTTTGCTTTTTTTAAACTTATGTTAAATTTGTTCTTCTCAAATTTTACATTTTCAAATCCTTTTCAATGCTTAACTAAAGATAAAAACTCATTTCACTGTCACAAAGACCATGTTTTATGCATGGCAGTTCTATTTTTTAGACCAACAATGAGCTAACTTATTAAATAAATAAATAAGAACCAACTCTCCCTCCAAACCTTGCCTTGTCTGTCCTCAGACATTCATGGCTGTAACAATCCTATCTCCAGAAAATTCTTGCTTTTAAGTGCATTTTATTATTCCTCAGCAGTATATGGCAGTACGTACTGAATGTTTGCATTACACTGTTAAATGCCACCAAAATAAGACTCTGTTTACCAAGAACAACACTGATTCTATGGGTGATTTCATAGAGAAATTGTAGAATCTCTGTCCCTATTAGTTTTCAGAATTTCAGTTACAAAATACCTCTCTGCTCTTGAATAGCAATATCCAACTAGTTTGTATCCCTTCATTCTGGCTATGGAGCACTTTTCAAATTCTTAAGCCCATTACTCCTGTAGAATATCCTCTCAGACCTTCAAACCACAGAAAGCTGTGCTCTTCAGCCTGTGCAGGGAAGGCTTGTGTATGTGGTAAGAATGCAGTAATGGGTCAGAGAGAGCAAACAGGCTGTTTTGAATGAAAAACTGATTTAGTGTCTTTGACTGCTCTAACAGCAGTTTGCGTGCCTGCAAGCAGCAGCACAGATAAATCTATTAGGAGCACAACTCAAAAGCTGAAATGCCCAGCTCCCAGAAACATTTAATAAGAGGAAAGATTGAGATGTATCCATAGTTTTCCTCCATAAACTGAGTCTGTGCAGGGTAGGAGTAAAGAGTAAATCTTTCCTCAAGAGGCTGTAATTTCAGCAGAGTTTAGTAAAACATCCCAGATGCTTGATTACAATTGTCAAATCTTACACCCCGATGTAATCTCCACAGTGTTAACATTATTATTTTGTCATAGATTTGCCATGAATCAGAAAAGGCCTCTGCTAGAGAGAAACAGTAGACTGTTAGAAAGAGTTAGAAAACCTTTTAAAAACCGATATTGATTGCTAGTCCTTTACCTTCTTTATCTCTTTCATTATAGGGTCACAACATCTTTGCTAACTTGTCCTCTAAGGACTACAGTGACCTTATGCAGCTTCTAAAGCAATCGATATTGGCAACAGACCTCACTCTGTATTTTGAGTAAGTATTGGCATTTCTTATATGTGAGAAACGAAAATTCGAAGCATGTATCTAACAGCCTATTAAATACTAATAAGGATATATAATATGAACAATTAATATTTAGCTGTGGTTGAAAAGATTTAGTCTAATACTTTGTGTATTTTAGGCTAATAGAAATATCTCAAGTGTCTAACTAAGTTTTGCTTTAATGCATAATGTCTACATCAACAAAAGACAAGGGAAAAGTCCTGGGCTCATACTTCAAAGCAATCCCAGGAATCAGCTACAGTTTGCTGCCATAATTCTTCTGTCCCTTATGCGATATTTCTTCAGAGGTGTAGAAAATCAATGACATTTCAGAATTCTTTTCCACCATCTTAGAGTTTCCAACAATCTATACTAAAAATATTGTATTTAATAAAAAAGATGAGTAATGAGGTAATGAACACATACATTTTGCTTTTTGAAGATAAACTGTATTGGAAGAGAAATATGTTGTGGAAAGTTTAACTCTCCGTTTTTCTCATCTGCAAGTCAGATCTCTTAAGTAGTCTTTAAGTTGATGCTATGGTATATTTTCAAGCGCTGTTATTACCAAGCTATATTTGCAGTAAGACTGCAGTGTGTATGTGGCTGGAGGAGTCATGATGTCACCTCCATGTGATGTGGCTGGAGCCTGCTCTCTGGCATGTACCTGGCTGACTTGCAGGGAGAGCACCATCAGGTGTACAGCTTTGGGGTGCTGCCTACGAAACGTTGGATCACTGGGCTAAGGTGAGTGGGATGAGGTTCAACAAGGCCAAGTGCCAGGTCCTGCACATTGGCCACAATAACTCCATGCAGTGCTACAGGCTTGGGGATGAGTGGCTGGTTAACTGTGAAGAGGAAAGGGACCTGGGGGTGTTGGTCGATGCTCGGCTGAACATGAGATGACAGCGTGCCCAGGTGGCCAAGAGGGCCAACAGCATCCTGGCCTGCATTAGAAATAGTGTGGCCAGCAGGAGCAGGGAGGTGATCATCCCCTGTACTCAACACTGGTGAGGCTGCACCTCAAGTATTGTATCACTACAAAAAAGACTTTTGAGGCCCTTGAGCATGTCCAGAGAAGGGCAACAAAACTGGTGAGGGGTCTGGAGCACAAGTCTTACGAGGAATGGCTGAGGGAGCTGGGATTGTTCAGTCTGGAGAAGAGGAGGCTCAAGGGAGACTTCATTGCAATCTACAACTTCCTGAAGGGAGGTTGTGGTGAGGGGGGGTTTGGCCTCTTCTCTGAGGCAACAAACAGGACTTGAGAAAATGGCTGCAAGTTGTACCAGAGGAGGTTTAGATTAGACATAAGTAAGAACCTTTTCTCTCAGAGAGTGGTCAGGAACTGGAATGGCTGCCCAGGGAGGTGATGGAGTTGCTATCCCTGGCAGTGTTCAAGAGGTGTCTGGATGAGGAGCTGTGTGATATGGTTTATTGCTTGTGGTAGCAGTGGTAATGGGAGGACAATTGGACTAGATGATCTTGCAGGTTGTTTCCAACCTTGTGATTCTATGATTCTATGATTTTTCCTAGCCTTGGCAAGGCTTCATCCTTAGGAATTTTTGTTGGATGTCCATTAGCATCCTATCTCATACATTATTGGGTAGCATTTGGTAACGTATCCCTCTACTTTGAGAGGGGTGTACATAGATTCCTCAATTATGTGTACTGATAGTTGGTTAGTTCCCACATGAATCTTCCAGAAAACTTCAGAAATTCTAACTGTTCAGCAATGCATCTTTAAACTGTTAATTGTAAAAATACTAACTGGGATGCTGCCATGTTTGCCAATATTGGGTTATTATGTAAAAAGCTGTTTCTGAACAATACTGGCAGTAGAGACATTGATGTTCTTTGTTTTCTGCAAGTGTATTCTCAAAGAAATTGTACTTAAGGTTTTTATGAATAGTTTTACTGTAAATAACTTATAAAACTAGCCCACGTTTGTAGATATGAAGATGCTCAGGAAGACAAATACTTTTAGGCACACAATTTTTGAAGCAGTTTGTTAGGCTTGCTAGGATCTGGAGGTCTGGTATGGCAGTGGAACTTGCTGACAGTTTTAAGTGGGATACAAGGGCCATGGGGATGTTTAAGTACAGATTCTCCTGTCTAACTGCAAATGACAGGAGTGCACAATGGGTTTGTGCTGTCAGGGAGAGGATGAGTAGAAAGGACTTAGAGCACATCTGCCCTGCATGGCACCATGCACTGCCCTGTCTGAGACCATGCAGCTTGTGGAAGAGCCAGAAAGCCTAACCCTGGGAGAATCTGCAGCAGCACCTTGAAAGGGAAACCAGACACAGTGGAGTTGGTTTTTTTTTTTTTTGCTGCCTGCCTTAGGCTGAAAAACTACATGGTCAAGTGGTGTTTCTATTTTTAATGCAGAGAAATAATGTCCAAAGAGGACATCAGCTGAATTTCAAAATGGAAAATGTACTTAATTTTAGTGGATAATTTTAAATGTTGCTCACAGATAATACAACAAGAAAAATAACTGAATCTGAATAAGTGAAAATTATGTTTATGGAAATCAACTGAAACAATGTCTTGAGCCATTGGACTGTAAAGCAGCTGTTTTGTTGTACAGCAAATTAGCTTTCCCTTTCAGACTATATACAAGAGTTGATACTCAAAAACATTGCAGAATTTCTTAAATTCTGGCATGCTATGATGCTTAATAGCATTAAAACTCTTCCTGTCAGACATTGTGTCTAAGGAACCAGCAGGAAGCACTGAATTATTTCCTTATACATGGATGCTTTCCTCAGGTTGACTCTCATATTAGAAATCCTCTGTGGTGTTAGACTGAAGCTTCTACATCCATTCCTGAGGATGTCAAAGCAAGACTCTTAACATTTTCTGTTCCTGCTTCTATGAACCCATATACTTTAAATTTGAATGTGTGAGGTTTTTAGGATCTCATGTTCCTGACCTTTCAGCTTTAGAAATAGTTGACTTTTTGTTTCCAGTAACACATGAATTGCCCAGAATAATCAGTACTTCAAAATGAAATAATTTGTACTCATCAATTCTGTAATCTGAAATTCTTAGTATTTTATTTCAAGAAACATAAGGGATAGGATATCATATTGTCTCTATATCTGTGTTCTAACTGCCATTGTAAAATCTGTTATGTAAGAGCCCCTGTACAGTTCTGTCCTTTCACTGGGGTCAGTGTTCCCAAAATCGTGCATTCCTTTGAGTATAAAAATTGTAGTCTATGCCATCCAGATTATGCTTTCAGTAATTACTGTGGAAAATTTCAGCCCATCTGAAGTAAGTGTGAAAAATATAAAACTCTGTAAACTTGTTCCAGTTAGGAATCTCCCATGAGACAAGACACTGGACTGTCATCCAAAACATAGGTATTCGGTTTCCAGACTTGATGCTGATATGTTGTGTCACTCTAGGGAAGTTGCTCTGTATTTCTGTACCTTCTGTCATACTGGGGTAGGATCTGCTGCGTATTGTGTGTGTGGTCACACTGTGTGCAGTAAGAGTTCCTTGAAGGCCAAGTGTGAGTTGTGATAAAATTACAAGTCCAAATGTTGGTACTCAATAGTCAACAAACAAGCAAGCTTTAACATGTCCCTATTCGCAGAGACTGGCAAGATCTTCTGGAAGACAAAGCATGAGGTCCAGCAGGGATACTTAATTTAAAGTCAGTGAGAACTACACATTAAAGATGCCCACAGTCTTTGTGTTCCATCTGTTGGAAATAACGGTAATTACAGGGCTCTGAAAAACCCTCTGGAATCCAAGAGTTAAAAAGCATTTTGCAAGGACAAGTGAAGTGAAGTGTGTGCATAATTCAGGGGTATTTCTATTGTCTGTCTGTCCACTTCTGTAGTCAGACATTTCATGCTTCCATGGTATCATTTATTTCCTTATCTGCAGAGGCTATAAATACAGTATTGCTTTTACTAGGCAGCTCTGACATTGGTAACAGACATTTATAGAACATGTTCGGAAATTAGTATGTTTCGCTTAAATGGACTGTCAGTGTAACGTCTTTAACAGTAATAAATGAGCTGTGATGATATTGTATCATTCAGAGAACCACATTTCTGCTGCAGTGCCACCCAGAAAATGTCTGTTTCCCTTTCTGACAACCATTTTTTGTTGCAGGAGAAGGACGGAATTCTTTGAACTTGTCAGTAAAGGTGGTTATGATTGGAATGCTAAAAACCATCGAGAAATATTTCGGTGAGCACTACCATTTCTTGCTTTCTGGTTATTTCAACATGTAACCATATTTGTTAAAGGAGATTCTTATGTCACAGAGGAAAGACTACAATGAGAAGATAGCTCGCTTTAAAAATGCAATCTGTGATATGAAACACATGATACGATTTCTAAATGTTACTAAACTTTAGCAGAGGTATAAACTTCACCTTCTCCGTTCCTATTTCTGCCTCTGTCATGTATTTTTCCCTTTCTCCCAGCCTCACCATTTACTGCTCAGCCTTTCTTCTCTTTCTCAAAAAACCGCCGGTACTCTGCCTTAGGACCCAAAGATCTTCCTTTTCTGCCTCCTTTTCTCTCCTCCTCTCAGCTGCTTTCTGTCACAGGCTACGTTTCTCTCGTTCTTGCTGTCTGTAACTGGGAATTTGCAGATACACAATACTCTTCTAACACTCGAGAATGACCTGAGCATGCACCCTATTTAAATGGTGGGAGTGTACCCCAAACTTGAGACATATATGTGCATATTTGTATATGCGTGTCTTATTACATCTCAATTTTGTTAAAATACTGTTTCCTTCTGGAAATTATTTTAAACCAAGAAAATTAGCCATCTTCTGTTTTCCATATCATTTCATCCACTCCTAATTTCAGATTCAAGCAATATATTTGATGCTTCATTTTCAGTGCCCTTGTTCTTCATTTAAACTTTCCTAGACTTTTATCTGCATCATGTACTGTACATAAACGCTTTCTACAGCTGAATGGTTTCTTTCTTCTAATGCATATAAAACATGGTTGTAGCTAGGTATTAAACTACAGTGGAACAGTATAGCTCATAGTAAATCTTAAATTTTTATTGTAGATGAGCAGTAGAAACTGCTTAAACAGTGTCTGGGTTGCCTCCTGTGATTATAGGTTCTCTTGCAACAGCAGCCACTTACAAATAGGCATATAAATTAATCCAGTTTGCAGGTATTAGTATATAATAATACCCTTGCTTATATCATGTGAAGTACATGTTTTCTGGTATTTATATTTATATGGTATATATATTTATATAAATAGTATCAGGGGTACTGCAAAATTAGTGTTATTCCCTTGCAGTGCCATTACTTTTCTAGTATGCAGTTCACAATACCAAAAATTCATTGTCTGATGACTTGAAATACAATTATGCTTCCCGGGCACAATTGTGATGTGAAAGCCATGCTGATCGCTGGGGTTTCAAACGTGTCATTCTTTTCTGGAGGAAAAGGTAACAGGGCTGACATTTTATACATATATATATTATTTATTTATGCATCCAGAGCAGAGTTGTTCAGAAACCCAACAAAGGTTGATTCAGCTTGTATTGTTCATTTCTGTTTTTCAGATCAATGCTAATGACAGCCTGTGACCTTGGAGCTGTGACCAAACCGTGGGAGATTTCAAGACAGGCAAGCCATGATTAATAGCAGGGCTGGGAGGAGGCGGGACTGGCGGGACAATATTCCCAGGGCCCTGGCTTACAAGGGACCGAAACTGGAATCAATTTACAGCAGTATTAATGCTATAAAAAATAGCAGGGGGTTCTGTAAGAAATACTTTATTGCTTAATCTTTCCATGTATGCATGCTGGTGAGCAGCACGTTGGTACCTGAGGAGATCTCGTTTTACAACCTCTCCTCTTATTAACCTTTTAAATCCATATCAATAAAAGGATGGATTAAACAACAACAATGAAAACCACGAGCTACATGTAGCTGCACTTCCTTGGTTTGTTCTAAGGCTTTCCTTGGCCATGGCAGCATCTTCCCTAAATCAGGAGATGGTCTGCAAACTTTGATTAATATCAGATTTTTCTGTTTAAGTGAATATGTTTATTTTTATCAATTTTGGGGGGAAAAAAAACCTACAAGTGTAGCATGGCGATGTTTTTAGCATTCTCTACTTAGAGACAAAGAAAGATTCAGGCTTTTGCTGCTGAGTAGGCCCAGTAGAAATATATACATAAAACTCAGGTCCAAATGCTGACTACAGCTAATAATTATAACACACATAAGCAAGTGTCTGGCTTACTAAACAAATGCTTGTTCCCTCTTCTAGACATCTTCTCATAATTTGCACCCTTCATTAATATTTCTTCTTTCCCATACTAGTAATTCTCTGTCCCTCGTTGAAGTCCAGAACAAGTTAGTAGCAGGTTGGTTAGTGAGATAGGGTTTTGGAGGAATATGCAACATAATGAAGCAGATAGGAAATATATCAGCACAACTGGGTGTAGGTGAGCAGCTGCAGTGAATTTGACAGGCGTAATGTGAAAGTGACAGCTAAAAAGATGAGCTGAAGATGAGAAGCTGGACAAGCAAGCTAGCTATCAAGGTAGGAGCAGCCAGATTTCTTGAATAGGGACACAGAATGTAACGGGAGATGAAAGGGAAGGGGCTTGTGCTCCTCTACAGCAGTACCAAAATAACATGCACACGTTAACCCAGTAAAGAAGCATTTATGAAATGAGGGCTTCAGCTCAGTTTGCAGTTTTGTCTAATGAGTCTTTCTTTTTTGCTTTTATAAGCAGACTAGAACAATAGTCCTTTTAAGACTATTATCTCTTCTTGTCCAGAATGTGACCACCTCAAGAAATCAGGGAATTTGCTCTTGTTCTGCAGTAGGAAAATAAGTCACAAGCCCTTGAAGTACCACTTAGCCACTGCTGTAATTTGTGCAAATTCTCCTCACTTTTCCTCTTTACCCCTGTGAGGTTCTCAATTTTCCTTGACAGCCAAAATATCAGGGAGGGTCTGTTTCCCATGCTGTGAAGCTTTGTGTTATGGTGTTCAACGTTCTGGCAATGTGTTCTTTATTTTTATCATTTTTGAGGTTTGCACTTGAAAATTCCCCTGAAGCCTGGTGTACAGGTTTACTTAGTATTGAAAACCCCTGAGTGAAATATTAGCTGGTTGAGCAGAGAAGCTAATCAGTGCACAGAAGAAAAGTAGAAGCAATAGTTGGACCTCAAGTGTACGTAAGGAAAAAAATATGAAAAGCAAGGGAGAAAGAAACTGAAGTATATGCATAAACAAATAAAGATGAAATGTATGAAGAAAAATATTAGGAAGACAGGATAGATAGAAGAGGGAAAGGGACACAAGGAGAAATGTGATCAGAATAGCAGTGAGACAGGGATGAGACTACATCTTGATTATTTTTATGCAGTGCACTTGGCAAACACTTAATTGCTGTTAAGTTGTTAAATTATTCCTCTGTCTGGAGCATTGATCCAAAATTTTATTAGTGTACTGGGATTACATACGTTATAAAGTTCCAAACTGCGTGATAGCCTGGTTCAAGATTTAAGAGTTCTTTATAACACCACTTCACCTATTTGCAATTTATTTTGGTACTTCGTATTTCAAGTTTAGCAAGCTCAGGATTTGTGTATGTTAGATACTGTGCAATTGCTAGATCAAGAAATGTTGAGACTTACAAAGCGCAGGTTCTCTTCGTTCACCTTGTTATGCTGTGGTGTTATGAAATCATGTCTTACCTCAAAATCACTTGAAAACTATAAGCAGGCATGACAGGAATTTTAGGAACTGAATTCTGATTTCAGTAAGTTTCCTTTTTTTTCTTCAGTATCTCATGTGTCACCTGTGCTGACTTTCTAAGCCTTGCATTCAGAAAGGGCTGTTATATCAAAATTGTTCAGTGTTTGGTTTCTTAAAATTCCTTATTTTGTTATTAAATTTCATGTACTTCTGAGATTCTATGCTGAATATTCTATTCTATGCTGAGTAGAATAACAATCTTCGTTCACAAAAATCAGAAAGGCGCATTCCAACTTTAACCTGCCATGTGTTGCTTTGGATTCAATATGATAATCGTAGTCTGAGCTCATATGTACTGTAGTGATGACAGTTGTGGGGGGAAAAAAAAAAGAATAAGTCTAGTGGGGAAAAAAACTTAATGATTTTATATTAAATTACGACAACAGAGGTTAGTGATTACATTTGTTTGACAAGTGAAGTTCTTTATACAGGGCAACAGCCTGTAAATACCCCAAGAGCTCTTACACATTTTACAAAGCACTTTTACAGACATAATTACGTGTTCCAACAAGAAGCTATCATTTTCTATTCTGTTCTCAATACTTGACTAAGTTGCACACAACTACAGAGTGCTGCCTCCACGCTGCACTGTCTTTCCCCAGTTGATTCCCTTTTCAAAAGTGATAAACATGACTCTTTTGGGTTTTGGCTATTTATATCCACTTCTGTGCCCCACTCCGAAAAGTATACAAACATGTGCCTGACACCAGTCATGCAACTAGGGCTATTAACTTCTTTACAGCAAAGCACAGGCTGAAGTCATGGTCTAAGCAGAAACTTAGTACCCTAAAAGTTATGTTACGAGTCCTCTAAATTTTATTGTGATTTGTATTTTAGGCAGCTGAGCTGGTAACCAGTGAGTTTTTTGAACAAGGAGATAGAGAAAGATCTGAACTGAAACTCATTCCTTCAGTAAGTATTTATCACTTCTGAAATATTTATTTAAATAGGATAAGAAAATAAAATTGGATTCTTGGAAAAAACAACGACTGCATTTTGGTATGGAAATAAATATCTTTGTATAAAACAAAAGCTCTCTCCAATAAGGAGGTGCACTGAAAACCACACATAAAAAGCAGTATAGGCAACAGAGTCACTTTTCCTTTGAACCCATCTCCATTTTCTTTACCTTCTCGCAGGTTTATTCTGTCATTCAATTTTTTAGGCAACAGGTATTATGTTTAATAGATGAATTCAAATAAAATGACGATATGCTTATGGAAATTAAGCTGCTGCTGTCTGCTATGTGTTATTTGATATATCAAATACGGAAAAGCATTTCTGTAGCTATGTAACCAAATACAACTTGGATTGAAAGGTTACATTAACTGGAATATAGGCAGATGGGTATAAGTATCAAACAAGAATGAAGAAGAAAAAAAGATCGTTGAAATGTTCAGTGAGTGAATTGAAGAGAGAGCATTATTCAGGTTAAATACTTCAAACCATTTACGAGCCATTATCTGAAGGAAATGAAAACTGAAGGAAACAAGGAAGTCTTGAAAAGAATCTAACTTACAAGCCAGGTGCTGTTGCTTCTAAAAATACTCATTCTGGTGGCTCAGATTTGTTCTCTGTTTGATAACTGGCACATGAGCATACTACCTGTGGTGATGTAATGAAATAAAGGTTAAAAAGCTTGCAGAAAATGTTCAGATGGAGAAGTTTTAGTCAGCAAGATAATATGATCTTATCTTCTCTTGTATCTCAAGGGTCTTTTTATCGCATTGCCCCTGGAAAGATCTGAAAAGGGCAGTATTATTCCAAATGATTTTAACAGGAAATAGAGTTTTCAAAGATCACACACAAGATTCTCAATTAAGACTAAATCCTCAAATCTTAGCTCCATGTCTTACTTAGATATTCTGTGTGATAACTGTATGTCAGAAAGAGCAGGACACAACTAGAAGTCAGCCAAGTACTTCATATGTAGAGCCTGGAGATGGTGTGAAGGGAAAGAAGGAAACTAAGTTTTCTGAGGAGACATCAAGCTGGGGGCAGATGAGCCTAGAATAAGAACAGACTTTCTAATGAAACACCAGAAAGATTTAAAATTTGGGATTTTCAGAGAATAAAAAGAAATTCAGTGAATGGTATGGATGAGCCATTAGAAGGAGGATTAAGATTCTGTAGAAGGAAAAGCTGCTGGACTAAGTGATCTCCTACAGGGTACAGAGGAAACTCACATTCAAACCCTTGAGAATTCATTTTCTTCCATCTCCTTTCATAGAGCAGTACAGCCAATAATTGTGCCTCTTAAACATCAGCTTAGGTCTTTCTAACTTACTCTCTATGGAGTGTAGAAGGTCACTGAATTAGGATGTTTCCAGAAGAATAAATTAATAACTATTCCCCAGACTGGTCTGTTGACTCCCCGTGCTTTGGCTTCATGGCCATGGTTGGTTTTCCAAAAAGAGTCTGTAGTTGGGAGGGAGGGAGCCAGCCCAGACCTCATGTGAGAAAAGAAAAAAAATCTGCTCAAAGATACCTACTTTACATCTCTACAGGAGGTTTCTTTCCATCTCAACCCCAACCGCAGAACATTTATTTTACATTATAGACTTATAAAAGTCAAATACATTCACCCTACAAATTTAGAAACAGAAATCAAAATAAACAGTTTGTTTTTCATGCCAGACAAAGCAATAAGAAAGATTGCAAAGACTGACTATGGTTTACAAAATGTTCTGGTTGTAACAATTTGATCATGGCTCTGAAGCACTGGATGATATGCCTGTAAAATACTCTGGTGTAATAAACCATGACAGTTTTGTTCCCTTCTCGATTCAGGCCATTTTTGATCGGAACAGGAAAGATGAACTACCCAGGTTGCAGCTCGAGTGGATTGATAGCATCTGCATGCCATTGTATGAGGTAATTTTTACTTACTGCTCCTGTAGAGCCCAGAGAAGATTGTTCTTGCCTCTCTAAGGAAAAGAGTTTGCTTACTGTGCAGCCTTGAAGGCCCCAGGAATACTTTATCTCTCTTTGCGTTTAACAAGAGACAACTCTATGCAGAAATCTTCAGTTTCCCTGAAGACAGTTTTATCTGTAAATATAATTTCTCTCTCAGTTATGAAAGCTGTTAAGGTAACTGTGCATTTTGTTTGAGACAAACTGATTCTTGTTGTGGCAAGGTGTGTAGTGCTCTGCAGGGTGGTGCTGATGGGATGGACTCACCATGTGCTGCTGTCAGCCCTGTGCCTGGGAACACATCCAAATACAGGTGATCCAGGCGATACTCAGGGCTGAGCCTTCGCACTCCCTTCTGGTTCCTTTTCAAATTGTTGAAGGACTCCCTAGGCCAAGCCTTTAACATCAGTGACAAGTGATTTGTAGTTTAACCTATGTGCTGTTTAACTGGGAGCTTAATCTTTTAAATGTTTCTGTACAGGTTGCTTGGATGGTTGGTATATGGTATAAATGCTCAAGTACTACTTGGTTGGGCTCTGAATAATGTTTCATCGGATTAAACTAGCTTTGGAATTTAACTTGTGTGTAACATGAACTTCACCATTTCAACTTATTCTCTCTTATCTGCACAGAAAGCAGAGCTACACAGGCAGAATGATAAATGGAAAATGACACTATAGAAACTTAACCATCAATAACTGTGTCAGCCAGAATTTTCCTACATGCTGAAACCACAGAGACCACCTTCCATTTTATTAAGAAAGATGATGCGCTTCCTACCCGCTCTACCTCATGGCATTTGAGATTGCCACTAAAGAAGGGGCTGGCCAGTAGCAAAGGCAACCCCAGTTGTGTGACAGCAAGAATGTGAGGTGGGCTAATGCTTTGACAGGAAATCCTGTTTCTTTCTCATGTCAGTCTTTATCAGTATAAAATAAACTGTAAATCCATAGGTTTCAACCAATTAAGAGAAGGCAAGCACAGGAGACCCATAGAAAGTTACATTTTTTAAAATACTAACCTTGTCTTTGACACCAACAGGTAGGGAGAACTGACACTGGAGAAAAACTCTTTAAAAACAATGTTCCCTTCAATATAATAGTTCATATTACACTAGAATGCATATTATATCAGAATTCATAATTCATGATCTGAAAAAGTACAATAAAGGAGGAAAAACTGATCATCAGACCATCCTCTGCATGAGAAGACTAGATGTGAGCGCTAATGCTCTGGTTAGTTAGCTCCATCTTAGCAGGAGATCTCTGGAGAATATATTCACAACTGATTTCCCTGTTTTCTGCTGTTTTTGTATCATGCTGTGCAGCTATTAGCCTGCTGCTCAACAACTTAAAAAGGAGACACCATCAAACCTGGAAGTCATTGCAGCACCAGCCTTAGGGGTAAACAGAAAACTTGATGTCACAGTATCACACTGCAGGAGATTCTCTCTTGAACATGTAGTCAAATTTTAATTTTCATAGCCAGCTTAATCAAACCTCAATACACATTACATCAGCAGTGTAGTCAGGCATTCTAAATCTTCTGGTTAGGGCTGCATGAGCACACTCTAACTATGACAAAGTCCTAGATTCTAATTTATTTTTTCCTTTCTAAATATGTTCTTTAAAATCCTAGCCTCTATAATCTGTTGTTGGGACCGCATGTGGGGACAGAATGGGTTACATCATTACAAGTGCAACATAAAGAGGCAGAGTGGCAGCTGACAAATTAGTAAAATCTTAGCAGTACTTATATAGCTTACTAGCACAAAGCTTTTATAAGCAAAACATTTGACACTTGTTTTGATACCAAAATTACAACATTAAGTCATAAAGAACAAACTCAAGGCTTTTGCATATAATTACTTTACACAAGTGATGAAGTCCTGGATCTACCTGGACACATCCTGGTGTCCAGAGGCCTAAAGAGAGCTCTGCAGGGAAAAGCATGCATCCATACCAACACAGCTGCTGAGGCAGGACTAATGCTGTGCTCCATTTTACTTGACACTCAGACAGCAAAAGTGGTCTCTACTGTCTGCAAATGCTGGGAACTCTCACTGAAGTCAGATTGGAGTTTTTTGCTTTGACAAGATCAGGGGAGGCCCCTAATGTAGTCCTAAGAGTAAACTATTCTTGGCAGCTCTGGATTTTTGAAGCGTGCAATATAGAAGGAACTTCATTACCCAAACTTAAATGAGCACTCTGGTGGCATTGGCTGTGCTGCAACAAACTGCACCTTGTCCACAGTCCAGGCTTATGAATTTAGTCATATACCAGAGTGCCCACAGAGAACATTTGATAATTACAACCTTTAGTATGCTTTACAGAGCTTTATAGAGAGTTGTGGCCTCCCCCCACCTTACGCTTTTCTCCTCCTCTCTTGAAAGATTCTTTGGGACTTTATCAGTCTTCTGGGGAGATTTGGCACTATCAGCCTCCTCTCTATGCATCTACTTGCTTTTCTGCCTTTCCTCAGAACAGTTCTCGACTTTGAGGTGCAGTTTTTCTCCCAAGAGAAGGATAATTAAGCCTCCTTCAACAGGGAGATGGGTGTCACAGCAGTGCATACGCACACAAGGAGATTTATACCTTTGCTCACCTGGCTGGAACTATTCTGATTTTTGGGGTATTTTTTTTGTAAGAAGTTTTAAAAGCAACTAGCAATTCCTCAAGATCTGTGAACCTTCTGCTAGCCATCATGAAAAGGTCTACAAAATGTGCTTTATAAGTTAATGTGGAGCTTGAAGCTGAATATATGTAGATACATAATAACTGGGATATTAAAAAAAATTATATACAGATTTCCCATATCAGAGCATCTAAATCAAAACCTTTTTGTGTTTGCTCTGTAAGCATGACTCTGCTCTTGGCACAAGGTAAGCTGTGGCTCTGCTCCCTCACTGCCCCACAAATGCTGCTTGACTTGGGAATCAGGCCACCTCCAGTATCAAAGTGCCACAGTAATAAAATCTGTTTCCTCCATACTGTGTATCAAAGGACTGTGAAGATAAAAGCTTCCCAATTTTTTGTTCATTGCTTTTTATTACACTTGGGACATTATAATTTTATTGAATTTACTTTTTTGCTACCACAGTGATCAGAATATTTTTATATGACAGTAAAGTTTTTGCCTTGAATAGCAGAACTGCCACACATTTACTCTGAAGTTCTGATTTTAGGGGCTTTAGTTATGCTTTACTGCATCACATTTGCTCTTCATTCAAAAATGTTAGCAAAGAAAGCATTAGTCAGTAGACAGACAATAAACAAGCATATTAGAATAATCATTTGTAAGGAACAATACATTTCTATGATCTGTAGAGCATTTCAAATACACTAATGTAGCTTCAATATGAAGTAATCATCCCCTTTTTTTCCACAGAACACGGTATAAAGGGGAATCACATGCAACTCAAGCAGAAAATCTAAGATATCCCACTGAAAATAAAGCACTATGGCTACACTGACAGCTGCATTCACTGTACTGAGAAAGCACTCTGTACCTATTTGGACATAAATATTCTTGTAAGATGTACAGCATTTCAATCATTAAGACAAATTACTTCTCTGAACCTCCTGTAAAGATACTAAGAGTTTCAACACCAACAGATTCCTGCCCTCAACTCTATGGCTTGCGCACACCTAATGCAGGACCAGTTGCACATTTTTTCTGACTCAAATTAGATTTCTCTGTGGGGAACAGATGGAGCAGGATAGTGAAGATCTTACTCTTTTTAATCATTATTTTTCCTCACAAACAACATCAAAGCATTAGTGATTCACTTCAAAGAAAAGACACTAAGAGCAGCCCGGCTCTGTTCACAGCATTGTTAGGCAGAGACAGTAATGCTGTGAATAGCAGGGCCAAAGGCCATGCACTCTGCTTCTAGGCAGATAAATACATAGTCAGGTAGTCAGTGACGATGACAGCAGCTATTTAAATTTAAGGGAGATGTCTTTGTGGAAGATAAAGAAGCTCATGGCTTATACAACTTATGCGTGCCTGAGGTTGCCCTGCTCACCTCTACCTCCCTGCTCAGTTGAGCTGCTCCATTTCAGTGCTATTTTTAGTGCTATTCAAGATTTTCTTGGGTAAGGAGAGCTTTTAACACATAATAGCATATACAAAATTGAATTTGCGTTACTTCATTCTAGATTCTAGGGAAAAATCAGGAAAGAGCAGAAATATTTATTTATTTTAGCAAGTACTTTAAATGTACTAGACTGTATGTGGAAGGACAAATCCTACCCTTATCACACAGACGTACTCGGCAAGAAATCTAATTGCTTTGTCTACAACTTTACAACGGCACACACAGTGGATATGCCTATCTTCCTACAGTCTGGCCTTATAATTAAATCCATCTTTTGGGTAATTCCCCAATGGTGATGTAACTGCAAGAAACATTTATTCTACTCATTAGCAGACATTAAAGGCACAGGGTAGTATCAGTAGAGCTTCTACAAAAAAAAAAAAAAAAAAAAAAAAAAAAAAAAAAAAAAAAAAAAAAAACAGAAGTCTCCAATGTCCATGCTTTTATTTCTCCAGTTCAAAAAATTGACTTTGAAACCTGAATTAGGACTGCATGTGCATACATTGATTTTTTTTTTTTTTTTCCCAAAAGTTTATACTCTACTTACAACTAGTAGGCAAGAGATTAATATTTCAATATTCCTTTGCAGAAGAGAAGGAATCTGCTTTAGGAATCACTCTTATACTGCCATGTCCTGATACAGCCCTTCCTCATTTACTAAGACTATATTTTTCCCTCAGACTCTCAATGAAAATTTTACATAAGGAAATATCATAAGAAATTCAAGGTTTGGACCATTCCTCTAGAAGTCCAGGATGGGTTGTATGGTATGACTTAGACCTTACTCAGGCAAGAGTCTCTGGATGTAGCCAAAGCTGTGTTTCAGTTCCAATGTCCTCTCTGCATAGTCACAACTAAGACA